ATACGGGAATAACTCTGCTTTTATGTTTTGTATTATATTTTGATTATTTCTCCAGCACTACCTTCATTCCTTAAGAGGATTTGCTTTGGTTCATCGTTAGGCTGAAGGTTACAAAACAAAACCTTTTCTCCGCTGCAGATGGAAGGTATTTCTAAGGTGGCAATATGTGATGATTATTTAATAGAATGATTATCTTGCCAACTTTCAGCCCATCTATGACAAAGCTCAAGAATACCACCATCCAGATTCCATTGATTTTTTTTTTTTGAGTATCATGACTGACACATGAGAAACAAATAAGTCTTTATTTTCTGTAGAACCTTTTTATTATGAGAAGTCTAGGTTTCTTGGAAAGCTGTTTCAGAGTTGATGGATCTGAAACTTCAGGTGGTAGATATATGTATAGGAAACCTAATCAATGGAGAAGGCTGAGCTAGTGATGGGATGGAAAGTGCTGACTGTACCTTTAAAATCGCATGTATAATATGCATAATTGGCATTCTGTAGATTTATGGGTTTTAACTTCCTGCTCTTTTGACTTAAAAATGGAATGATCTATCTGTGGTTCTAGCAATGTTTCAGGCAGCAAAAGAAACGGAATTCCACGAAACATCAGTGGTGCAGATAGCTATTCCCCCATCCATCGTGTCCCAGATCACAAGTTTATATTATTTAACTCTGTTACTTATTAATTTAAGGATTATTGATTATAATAGCTTCACTCTCTGAGAATATATATCATAAGAAATTAATTATGTTAGCTATTTGTTTCCTTCCATGTTACGCTAAACCAGAACTGTTTTTGGTTGCTATGCTACATTCTGCATTCAATCTAGGTGTATTCTCCTTTATCCGTTGAAGCTAATATTTAAAGGTAAATACCTGTTGTCCAGTTGAAAGTAAATGCAAAGGAAATGAAAGCAACTGTATCCCAGCCTATACATTGTCATTAATGATGTGAGTTACTGGAACTGAATCCTAGAATCACTGTATTCATATGGGTCACGAGATTCTGAGGGGTCTGCGTGTGGCTATGTGGCTAGAAAATGTTTAGGTAATGGCTTTGTGGGTCCAGAAGAAAGAATAGCTGTACCAAGGCCAACAAAATAGGAACTAATTTTTTTTTAAGATTTTATTTATTTATTTGAGAAGGAGAGAATGAGAGACAGAGAGCACGAGAGGGAAGAGAGTCAGAGGGAGAAGCAGACTCCCTGCTGAGCAGGGAGCCCCATGTGGGACTCAGTCCTGGGACTCCAGGATCATGACCTGAGCCGAAGGCAGTTGCTTAACCCACTGAGCCACCCAGGTGCCCAGAACTAATTATTATTATATCTTCACTGCATGAAAGTACATCACTATCAGGAATGATAAGCCCTGTGGGCTTAGTGGAGCACACCGTCTTAGTTTACACTGATGTGATCACATAATTGAACACCTTGAGGAGGGAGAGAAACTTCAGATGGGGCTGCTCTGGTAGATTGGGTAATAAGAGAAAACTAGATTCCAGACTCCCTGATCAGTGTCTCATGTGTGAGAAAAGTCAGGAGACATCATGGATGGAGCTCCGCAAGCTGCTCAGAATGGTGCAGATAACCCTCTGTAACAAGGTACCCGATGGTAGATGTACCTTTCCAGGTTCTCAGAGCTTTCTGTTGGGCTGCAGCTGTTGCCAGTATGAAATCAGTTATCACAGAGCCCAGGATAAAGGACATGATAGGGGATTTGGAGAACTGGGTCATTCCACGTAGCAGTTCGGTGACAAATTAAGGTACTTAGGTTAGTGCCTACCCTACAGAAGGCACTTTTAAATACTGATTAAACTAATAAATGACATTACAGAAACAGGCCAGAGAATATGGAAAACCGAGATAAGAGCCAAGTCAGTAGCCGAAATATCTGTTCAAGTGCTACTTTTGAATATATACTTTTGGTGTGATACTGTAATATTTTTAAGGTTAATTTTATGTACAGCATTATTTATATCAGCTAGCAGAGAAACTAAATGCCGTGGTTCAAAGGAACAGAAGACCATTGAGCAATCCTTAGACCTCCTCCAGGGCAAATACTGTCTCCTGCATCTTTGGATGTGCAGTACCCAGCACAGTGCCTTATAGTCAATAAATGCTTGATAAATGAATAGAAACATTAGTGTAAAGCTGATACTGTGCTGGCTCTTGAAAGGTGATTGAATTTGCAGTTGTTCAAAGTAGTCAAACTCTGTGAATAAAGGCACAGATATTGGAATGAGGTTGTTTAATTTTGTGAGACATTGGATAGGTCAGTCTCATTAGAAGCCTGTGGTGGATATTGTGGTGGTAATGGTTGATAAGAGGTTGTTTTTAAAGACCAGTTCCTAAGTATTTTGTGTTCTGTCTTTATTGAAGCCCTGTCCTGATTATCTTGTTGGGTACTTCAGGAGAACAGGGTACTGGTGAGGACAAGCTTATGGGTTTCTTTCTTTCTTTCTTTTATTTTATTTTTTTAATTTTTTTTAAAAGATTTTATTTATTTATTCATGAGAGATAGAGAGAGGCAGAGGCAGAGGGAGAAGCAGGCTCCCCACGGAGCAGGGAGCCAGATGCGGGACTCGATCCCAGGACCCCGGGATCATGACCTGAGCTGAAGGCAGACGCTTAACCAACTGAGCCACCCAGGCGTCCCTCTTTCTTTCTTTTTTTAAAGATATTATTTATTTGAGAGTGCTTGCATGCACAAGCGGGGGAAGGGCAGAGATCGAGAAGGAGAAGCAGACTCCCCACTCTGCAGGGAGCCCAACTCAGGGCTCTGAGACCACGACCTGAGCCAAAGGCAGACGCTTAACTGACTGAGCCACCCAGGCATCCCAAGCTTACGGGTTTCATCTGCATAAAAACCATTTATTCAGTTGGCATTAATTGCATGTACACACACACACACACACACACACAAATGTACACACACACACATATGCACCCAGTAATCTTCTTTGGGGAAATACAAAGGAGAATGAAACACTTTTCTACTGAGAAACTCTATCTCACAGAAGAACATGCTGTCTCAGAATCTCCTAACTCCTGATCCACTGCCTTACCATATGCTGTTGGTCACAAAGGGCCACTAGCAAGAAGCAAGTGTGGTTTCTCAGCACATCCATCTTTCAGCACCTTAGGGCTTGCCATATTGAGTGGGATTTTTTTCTCAATCAGATTGCTTATTAAAAGCTTTACCGACATGTGGTGGATTGAATCAGATGTAAAATTCACACTCTGTCCTCAGGAAGAGGGAGCCCCTTGTAAAGGTTGAAAGTTGGTAGAGGCCATCGTGGTGGCAGTCCTTGAGAAGCACAGATGCTACTCAGAGGACCTCAGAGTTCAGCAGGAGCATTTTCCAAAAAGAACCACTTAAAAATTCTTCCCTGCTTCCTCTCTTTTCACCTTAAATGAGCTAATTATTATACTGTATTACTTTTTCCATTTCCGGATTTCTTTAAAACGCAAGAGCTTGGGTTTGCTCTGTGGCCAAATGTAATCATGCTAGCATAATCACTAGAAATAATTCTAACAGCAGTTGTAGCTGTAGCTTTGGTAGGAACACTAAGAACCTATGCTTTCCTATTAAAGTGTTGTTGTAGGTACCTTGTATTGAGCAAACACTGAAATTTGCTCAGACTCTTAGAAGGGAGAATTAGAAGTATAATCAGGGACAAAAGCAGAAAAAGTAAGGCTGCAGAAGGGATTTTTTTTTCTTCCACAAGTAGGTAACCAGCTTAAAGAATAATTATTTTTACTAGCTAGATAGTACACTACAAATATTTTCCGATTTCGAGCTCTGCAGTTTTTTTGTCTAGGGCACTACCCTGCTATTCATCTTAGTCATTATTCTACTCAGTGGTTGTTGTGCCTAGCTCCTCTCAAGGTGGAGAATCTGAGATGGAGTATTAGAGCAGGAGGACCTGACTCGGGGGGTTGGGATCTGTCATTTATCCTATTGCAGAATACAAGCACTCGCAAATTTTGTGAAGTGCACTCCAAAGACACGGTTTTGCTTTCAACTATGATGACACTATAATTGATCAAATATATTCTTTCCAGGAATCATAAATTCTTATTGGAGTTTGAGGAGATGTCATGTTCATTTGTCAACATGTCACTCCAGGGACACAGGTGCAGCAAATTTATGGGGGAAGCATCTCGTGTTTCTCCTGAGCCCCATAAATATGAAGCAGACTTGATTGAAAACGTGTGGCTTTAGATTACTCCTCAAATGGAGAGCAATTAAGATCTCTGTGTGGAAGGCATTTCACTGTGATTCTCAGGTTTCTGTGTCACATAGGCAGGGATCGGGTCTGAGGGGCCACAGGAAGTTTTCGGAGACCTGCAGATGTTGTTTCAGAAAAGAATACTGAGGCATTTCTTCTCTGGCAGAGTGAATAGTGCACATTTTTAGTCGAGTGCATGATTAACTTTGACATTTGAAAATAGAACTTCACATAAAAATAAGCATGGTACTTCTGCATGTTTAATTAAGATGTTTGGTTCCTGTCAAGGCTGATAGTTTTTTTTTCCCTATGAAGGGCAATATATTCTCAACTTCTGAAATTTCAGAAACCTGTACTTAACCTTTAATCGTCATTCCGTTTACATGGAAATCTGATTAACAACTTTTAAAGTTCATGAGCTCCTGGTAAATGCAATTAAGACCTTTTTGGAGTTTGTTATTAAGAGCTGGCATTTAAAGAAGACTAGGTCCTGGCTACTGATGCTGTCTTCTCCAAGGCAGGATGTCTTAAGCAATTAGCAGAGAACATGAGGTACATGAATTGTACTGTATTGCTTCCGAGTTAACACGGTTGGTATTTAAACAGCATGCTGTCTTTTTCTTTTCGATGACTGGCTTTTACGGTATGAGCTCATTACCCAGTGAGACTAGGGCCAAGGATAGTTGCTTGGAGCTGTGGCAGTTTTCGTGACCAGGAGGGTCAGGCTCAGCTTCCCCTTCCCTCTGAGGTTCTGAAGCCGTGTTGACGGACATTCGCTCTCAAGTGGTAAGGAGTCAGGTTAACCATCCTACCGCACTGCATTTTATTGCATCCCTCTGCTGGGCGTGATTGTCCTTCTGAGAGTTAAAATGAACAGATGTGGATTTTGCGGAGAGAGAGGATTCCGGCATGCAACTTATTTTCTAAACTCTTTGGCATCAGTTGTTCAGACATTGCCCTTAGATCCTAGGGGCAGAAGGGAGGAGTTAAATGTGTTGCAGCAGGCAGGTGTAGTATGGCTTACAAACTGAGATGTGCTGTGGTGTATGGAAAATGGGGGCTAGATTCTTATTGGCACTGTATGCTGCCAATCTGGCAGGTTTTATTTCATTTGCTGATAGAATTGGGTTCTCTGGATGGGCATAATTGCATTTATTAGGTCCTTTATTTGTGCAGAACACTGTGCTTATTATCATTGAGAGGAATGACAAGAGAAAATTATGACATGGACTATCAACAAAGGCAAATCAATAAAATATATTGCATATAACAGTACTATTAAAAGACTCGAATCTTTACATGTTGCTGTATATGTTTATATATTTCTGTACCCATGAGCATGTATTACTTTCAAATAAAAGATCAAAATGAAACAAAGAAATATTTTGGAGAGAGTAAAGTTAAATAGGAAATCCAGTCTAAAAGAATTAAAAGTTAATGCCGTAAATATCAATAAAGTAGGTTTCTATTTTTGAACCCTTGACTTTTTATATTTACGATGCACCAGCAACACAGTTAATTTGGTTAACCTTTCAGATTATGGGCTAACCTCAAGTGTAGTAGATAAATCATTTAATCCCATGTTTTGAATTAACATAGAACATTTCAGTAGAAATAATGTATAAAAATCACAGATTTTCGTATAGATGTGGAATTTTTTTTCCCGGAAATAAAACTGGTAAAGTAGGATTATTTTTTAACCAAGCCATCGACAGGTATATGTCATCAGGTTAGTGTCTTGCCTAAGGGATATCTATGTATTTCATCACCTTCACATAGAAGAATTTTGCTTACATCATAGACAGAATCTTTCTTACGATGTAGGAGTTGACAAAGTCCAGAAATGAGTGATATTAAGTTGTTTCTTTGATTATGAAGGGTTTTAGTTAAGGTATTTCAGTGTGACATGAATTTATGGTAATACAGGGAAATATTAGACAAAGTGCCTTCTCATCAAGTCACATTGGGTGTTTAAGAGATAAATTCAGGAAAAGTTCAGTAAACAGCAGCATATGATTAATTACCAAGTCCAGGTAACCATTTGTGGATCCTGCAGGAATGTAAAGGATGACTTAAGATAGGTTGGTCAGAGAAGGTTTTGTGTGTTTGATAGGAGCTGAACTGGTCCTTGAAAGAAGGTGAGGATCATTCGAGATAAAGATAATACGAACGTATTCATAACAGTGAGTACCTTACTGAATTTACCATATACATAATTCATAAGAAGAGTGTAAGATGTGATTAGATAGCCCAAAACCAGATTCTGAAGAGCCTTAGATGAATTCAGTTGAGATCTTTGTGGATTCCTTAAAGAAGGAACCATTTTATTTGTCTTTGTGTCCTCGTGCTTTGTATATTCAGTTCCTCCAAGCCCCATTATCCCCCACTCTTCAGAATATTCCCCTCAAATCCTAATGAGGAGGTACTTAACACAGTTTCTGGCACTCAGAAGGTACGAAATAAATGTTAAGGGAGTCTGCATCTGCACTTGTTAAATCTAAAGATTCTATTTTGAATGAACTATAAGCAAACATTGTTTCTTATACATGTGTCGAAGTTCACAGATTACAGATAACCAATATGAAGGACTCTGTAGTAACTGAACTGCTAATTGAAAATTCTGCGTCGGAGCCACTTAATTGAATAAACTGTCTCCATAGAGCAATTTGGGTCTTTTCCAAGATGCATTAACTCTTTCAGGTCATTAGGGTAGCACTTACCTCACTGGAGCAGAAATTTAATAAATGGTATTCCTGTGATGTGAGTAAATTAACATACCTAAAAAAGCCTGAAGTTTCACCATGGGGGCTATAGTTCTACTCCAAGGAGCTCATCTGCGAATGTAAAACATCAATACGTAGCTGCCCTTTAGAGCATCTTACTTTGAATTTAGGTGACCTACTAGAGAGTACCTACTTTGTTCAAGACACTCTGCTAGATGTTAACAGAGATACAAAGGAGAGGCATGGCCTGAGCTAAGAGGCAGAAGAGAAGGCAAGCAACTATAAGATAAAATCCTTGAGCAATACAAATGGCTGCATGGGTTTTAATGAGAGTGATATCCTAGTTAGCAGTTAAGATAGGTGGTAACCCCTCAGAAGGCAGAGACCTATGACACGTCCACACAGCATGCCCACTCATGTTTAGTTTCTCAGTATATATAAATATCTGTGTCAATATGAATAAATACCTGTGTATATATATATACACACACACACGTAATGGTAAAATATGAGTTAGATCATCAGAAGCATTTACAGTTTTCACATGTTTCCCTCTGTGGGGTATAAATGATCAATGTCTAGTGTTGGTCTAAAATGAGTGTGATAAGTATATGAAAACCAGAAAAAGAGCCAGTACCTTTTGGAGATAAGCTCACTGGTTGTCTGATAGTCTCAATTTGGTTGTCAGCTTACTACTGGGATATTGACCTCAAGGTAGAAAAGAGGGTAAAAAAGGTCTGTCCTGCTCACCAGCGTGTGTCACACATTTACATCTAATGTGAAGATAGAGGCAGCTAGCTGTCATCTTAAGATTAAGAGTAAGTGACATTAAAAGACCACTACAAAAAGAACTTTGAAAGAAGAGGATGGAGATTACACTTCCATGAGAAGATAAAACCTCAAAGGGGTTTACCTACCTCTGCTTCCTCATACCTGGGGTTGACATATGCCTCCGGACATATCTGAATGGAGCACCTGTAGTTTGTTAAAAATCAATCAGGTTATACTTAAATTCACTTTCTTGATCTCATTCCCCCATGCTTGATAGATGGAAAAGGTAGTAACAAGTAAGGGTTATAAAAAAAAAAGGATAAACTCAGACATGACAAAAAAAACCCAAAAAAACACCGTGGGACTTATATAAGGAACAGGACAAAATCTAGTTTAACCAAACAGTAGCTATGTAAAAACAATTAATGGGAACTAAGGCTACAGAGGTCAGTTGGGGGCTGTGGAGGGTGCTGAATAACAGTGAGGAGATGGGGTTTATTTTGCAGTCAAGGGGGAAGCCATTGAAGGATTTGAGAAGAAGAATGAGAACATTGTGCTCTGCATTAGCTGTGGGATAGATGGTCACGAGACGTTTGAGGCAGAATGATCAGTTGGGAGACTACTGTAATACTTGATGAAAAAGATAATGGGGACCAGATCTAACAGGATGAGTGTAGGGATGCAAATATTTAGAAGAGGAAATGGACATGAGATACATAGTGTAAAATCTATAGGACTTGGCAGGTGATTTGGGCAACCAGACTGAGAAGAGTCAGAGCTAACTACAGGTTTTCATCCTGGGAGATCAGTCAAATGATAATGGTATTAACAATGAAGGGAGCTAAGGGGAACTTTCTTTCTTTCCTCCCCCGGTCCTTTTGAAGAATGATGGTGATAAAGAGTGTGTTTGGTCAGGCTGTTTGTTGACCCCTTGCCTCAGCACTCTGTTCATGTCTGTTGTGCTCTTTTCATCTCCTTATTGTAATAATTGTGTGGAAACCAGACAGACGCTCTTGCAAGCAATGGCAGTGCATCTGCAGAACTTGGGAGAAAGTATGCTGGTAGAGGGAGACTTGGGAATCGTCTGAAATGTAGAAGTAACTAGAATGGAAGAGAACAAGAACAAGAGTAAGGATATTCATCATGCAAACAGTTGGATTGGACGACATAGAAGACTCACTGAAGTGCAAGTGTTCTAGAAGTTTAGAGAATGAGTATTAGCAGAAACCTAGACTTAGCCATTGAGGTTTTATTATAGAGAGAAGGGGAGGAGGAAAGAAGAAAGAGAAGAGTGATAGCAGTGGGAAGATGATGAGGATGTAGAGATAATTTTGTTTATTTAATAATGCTGATAATATGTTTGCTGTGCTCCAGGTGATGTTCTAAGAGATTGATAGCATTAACTCACTTAATCCTGACGCTAGTTCCTTGGGGCAGGTGGTATTATTACTCCTGTCTTACAGTTGAGAAAACCAAAGTTTTAAGGCGCAGGGAGATCATGTCTTAGTTACATGGCTCTTGGGCTGCATTAAAAAAAAAACAACACAGCAGATCTTCTGAGCCTCATCCCCAGAGATAATAACAGCCTGTTATGTGTTAAGCATTTTATGTATTTTTTTCTTTTCCTTCTCATATTAATTCTAGGGAGTAGATTCTGTTATCCTTATTTCACAGATGAGGGAAACAAGGCTTAGCCTGGTGAAGCCACCTGTGAAGGTCATACAGCTAGTGAGTTGTAGAGTCAATTTCAAGCACACATTCCCTGCATTTCCATGTCACCCTGTCATTTTGCGTTTCTAAGGGGGCGGGCACATTAATCTTCAAAGTACTTCTCGAGGTAATTCTAATGTGCAGACCAGTCTTTCCGAAATTTGAGCCCAAGCTGAGAAGGGAAAGGTATGTATTAGTTGGGAGGAAATAGAACATTGTGGTCAGAGAGGGGGATTCAGATTTGGAGACCACGGAGATGGAGTATTTCCAAAGGAGCAGGAACGTTAAATAGAGGAGACATCTTTGAAATTGAGGAGACTGGGAAAGGCCCTGTAATGAGAAAAGGGATCATTAACATAGTGTGATGAAACATCTTAGTCTTCATACAAAGTAAAGCTTAACCAGTAGCGGAAGTTTCACTTTGTAATGGTGTTAAGAAAATCATGGAGCTTGGTAGTCAAGTTTGAGAAAAAGGGAAAAAGTGATAGAAATAGGTAGAATGAGCTTTAAAATATGTTTGAATGAAGCGGGCAGAGAAGTGCCTTGGGGCGTTGAGACCACTTCTGGGTCCTACCCTGGCAT